GCTGTGTTTGGTTGCTACAGGTTAGTTCACGCATATTATGTTTCGTAACATTTCAATTTCTTGCTAAAAAGTTGGAAGCTAACGTATGTGACGCAGGTTTGGATGTGGATGAGGCTTCCTGTTGGTTGGCCCATGTGGAGGACCCATCAGGTTTGGCCGCACCAGGATGCCGACCGACGTCCCACTGTAGCTCACCTATGGGAATCGGTCCCATCTCCAGTAGTAGGCCGCAGGAATTTGGCCTACTACCACTACACAAACGAGATGGACTATCTACAGCCAGAACATGTAAGCAATTCACCATTCTATCACACATGAAGATGGTTTCTTACTATATAGTACTAAATGTGCTTCAATGTGTTTTATTTTTGTTGCTGCAGGTGGTGTGGATGCCATATGAGGCACAGGAAGTGCTCGAGCTAGAACTAAATCCCATGTGCCATATAGAGGATGCGTTGAAGACCCTACGGTGCCCACTGATCTGCTTCTATGCAGTGGAGTTCCAGATGTGCCACCGCGTGATGTGGCAGTTCGGGAGGCTTCAAACAATCCCGCACCGTTTCTCCACAAGTGTCGACCTACACAAGTTAGTAATTTCACTTAAAAATTTATTTTGCTTGCTCAGTTATTTTCACATCAACATTTATTAAATACTCGAGTTGGATATTTTGCATATGTGCAGGGTGGACCGTCGGAAGAACAAGAAGGTGACTGATTGGGCTTACTACCATCAGGATCATATCACGCAATGGGAGAAGTTCGAGGAGAATGGAGTACCAGACCAGGGTCAGCACAACAGGACAGAGTTCGACGTGTACTTGGCGTGGCTCCACAGGACCTACCGTCTTGTCCTACGTCCGGCCTGGACGCTAGCCGACATAGCGGATGACCCCGAGGATGTTGAGAAGCAGAGCGAGTACGATACTCGTACCCGTCAAGGTACCACGGTCGAGACGGGACCTGTTCGCGACAGAGTGGTTAGTTCTAGCATTAATGTTGTGACTTACTTCATTTCAACGCCATAAATGTTGTGACTTACTTCATTTCAATCCTGCAGGCTCGAGAGCTCTTGCGGACCGTCAACGATGCGGGAGTGGCGCTAGGCACGGCTCCTGGCTCCGAAGGAGAGGGCGGCACCCTCCGCAACGCCCTACAGGTAATCGTTGGAATAAGAGATGAAACTACGTTGTTTTCTTCCAAAATCGATAACTTAACAGGGATTATTTTTGATACAGAGACTACGGCAGCGGTGTCAGAAGTTGGCAACAAGGCTCGGCTGCAGGTCGACCGATGTGGTCGAACATGCTCATGCCCACCAAGAGAGGGATGAAGAAGGGGAGGTGGGTGACGAGGAGGGCGAGCAAGACAAGGAGGCGGAGGAAGAAGGAGATGAGGAGGAAGAAGGGGATGAGGAGGAAGAATGGGATGAGGAGGAAGAAGAGGAGGCGGATGAGCTCGGTCCCTCGCAGCTGGAGGACGCACCAGAGTCATCACAGCTAGATCTCTCGCAACTCGGCCCGTCTCGACCACGACGCCGGCAGGCTCCTTCGCAGGACTGGAGGTACACCCCCGATGTGCCTCATCCTCGCACTAGAGGTAGGAGGAGGTGAGTGCATGGTTCAATGGATGGATGGATGGATGGATGGACTTGATGCATGGTTCGATGGATGTATGGACTAGAACTTTTGCTTGTTGTGCATGAATGGATGGATGGATGGATGGATGGGATGTTTTTATTTGTTATATGTATGGAGTTAATGTATGGATGTATTGATGGATTCTATGGATGTATGGAATGATGTTGGAATTGATGGATGGATGTATGGTTCTCTGGATATATTACTGCCTGTGAATATATTATTGCCTGTGATGTGTGTTGTGTGCAAAGTCTGACTGGACAGAGAGCAGTCTTGCTAAGTTTTAGCAGGACTGCAAACTCAGCGCCAGGGAAAATGGCGCTGAGATTTTCACCCTCAGTGCCAGGTGCACTGGCGCTGAGGTCCCAGCCCAGCCATCCAGAAGGCTTGCTGGGCCGGGCCATGGCCGATTCGGCCAAGTCCCATCCCTAGGTCCAGCGCCATTATGGCTAGCGTTGAGTTCCCAGCCCGCAAGCCATCCAGAAGGCTTGCCGGGCTGGGCCATGGCCGATTCGGCCAAGTCCCACCTCAGCGCCGGGTGGGCTGGCGCTGAGGTCCCTAGGTCCAGCGCCATTATGCCTGGCGCTGAGTTCCAAGCCCGCAAGGGGTCCAGCGCCATTATGGTTGGCGCTGAGTTCCTAGCCCGCAAGCCATCCAGAAGGCTTGCCGGGCTGGGCCATGGCCGATTCGGCCAAGTCCCACCTCAGCACCAGGTGGGCTGGCGCTGAGGTCCCTAGGTCCAGTGCCAATGCAGTTGGCGCTGAGATTGGCCATCTTAGCGCCGATGCAGCTGGCACTGAGGTAGCTGCCACGTCAGCTGGGGGATCGGCCCGGCCGCCACGGTGGCACGATATCAGCGCCAGCCCCATTGACGCTGACACGACCAACCTCAGCGCCAATGCGCTTGGCGCTGAGTCGACGGCCTATTTTTGGTTGAAGTTTTTGACAGGGGTTAGTTTCGAAATAAGTTTTTGAAAAGGGTCAATTTGTCAAAAAAAACGGGGAGGAGTACTTGTGTAAGAACTAAGAATATTGTATTGCTTCAGTTTAATACAATAAATCGATTTTGATTCGTTTTCTTATAATTTTAAAGTTAAATTAAGTCTACAGATAAATGTAGTAATATTTCTTAACACAAAACAAATATATTATCAGAATATATTAAATGTTACTTCCCCTCCATATTTTTATGTATTATGACGTTGTTGACATTTTAACCAAAATTTAACTATTCATTTTATTTAAAAAAATTTATGTGATTATTATTTATTTTATTTTGACTTGATTTATCATCAAATGTTCTTTAAGCATTACATAAATATTTTTATATTTACATAAAAATTTGAATAAAATGAATGATCAAATGTTGATAAAAAGTCAACAGCGTCATATATTAAAATATGGAGGGAGTAGTATTTAGGAAACTAATTTACAAGTAGTATGAAGGGGAGTAGTTACAATTATTTCTGTAATGATGCCCACACGTAATACCATATATGTCATGACAGAGAAGCTAATTAAGCTGATCATTTTTATCTCTGCTACATTTGTGTAGAAAAAACCGACTAGGGGAATGACGCATTGGCGACGACAAAGGTGCAGCAAACAATGCTCTCTCTTTCCTTCCCCTTCATTGCCAAGTCAGATCGATGAGCGCCAGACCACCCACTGCCAGATCTAAGGGACGTGTCAGGTTCTTGATGTTGGTGGAGCTTCGGAATAGATGACGTCACGACCCGCACCCTCTTTATATTTTTCAAACTAGCTAAAGAAAGATCTGGGTGCCCAATAAATACCTATATACAAAAAAATCATTTATAGGGTGGGCCTCTTAACAGATCCACCTACGAAAATAAATCTATTTTCGCAGGGCAGCCCGTCCTCCCCCTACTCTTTTCTCTCCTCTCTTAAAAAAAATCTAAGCCCTCACTACTCTCCCATCCTCCACCGGTTAGCGACGACAAGAGCAGCCGCGATGATGGGAGGGGTGGCGATGGCAGCTACAACATGAGCTTGAGCTGGCGCTGGTGGCCCCGTGCCTAGCTGATTCGGTATTGTAGTGGGTGGATCTGTTGGTGGCGGCCTCATGGTGTGATTCTGGCAGTAGCTCATGTGGCGGGTTCTAGGCAGCTGACTCTGGGAGGGGCCAATCCGGAAATGGTGGCCAGCGCTTCGAGGGGTGGAGGCGGTGGGCTACTGGCAATGGCGGCAAAGCCTGGGCGACGACACTTCATTTGGTGAGCTCTGGGCTTCTTGTGGGCCTCAGGAGTTCCAGGAACAACGACGATGGGGGAGTGGTGGATCCACCACCACGGAGCTTGAGTTCAAAAGTAGGATTTCATGATTTTGGAACTTTTATTTATGTTATTTTGTGTTTTATTTTGTGAAAGCAGTCAATATAACTTAATCGTCTGTGAAAATCACTTTTTGCATACAATTGTGCAGCCGGCTTGAAAAATGCTGATTTCTACATATACCTGGGTTCAGGCAGTTGCTCTACCCATTTGCAAAAATGACTTTTGACCATGTATAAACATCAATTTTCCTCATATACCTCTTCCCACGCATCAAGCAGTCAATACTAAGGGTGTAAGTGACTAATCCACGAAATCTACTTATGGACCAAAATAAATCATGAACCCACTTATTTAGACTTACAAGTAGGTTCGAGGTTTATCCACTTGCACGATGAGCCACCGCATCCTCGTTGGTCACCACAACCGCATCTAAGTTCTCCTTAGGCCTGGTTTAGTTCCCAAATTTTTTTTCTAAAAATATTACATCGAATCTTTGGACACATGCACGGAGCATTAAATATGGATTAAAAAAACTAATTGCACAGTTAGGGAGAAAATCACGGACAAATCTGTTTAGCCTAATTAGTCCATGCATGATTAGCCATAAGTATTACAGTAACCCACATTTACTAATGACGGATTAATTGTGCTCAGAAGATTCATCTCGTGGTTAATGGATAGTGTCGGTAGGAGTGGTAATAAACCTAACTTTTTAGGTTATAAAATTTTGAGAGTTGGGTCTAAAATAAGGTGGGCTCAATTTCTATAATGTTTCTTTGTCTAAAAATATCTGAGGTACCTAGAGTTGTGAAAAAACAAAAGGGTCTTGACCCATTAACATCTCTAAGTGTCCAGTGTATAAGTTGATGGCTGGATGAAATTTAGACCAGTTCAAAAAGTTTAAGGATGTAAAAATAAACTTCCTTCCATATATAAACTGCTTATTTGTTACTTTGTATGCTAGTGGTAGTCATTAGCTCACGACAACAGTTTTCAGTTTAATTTCACCACCCCACTGAATAGTCTTCCCACCAATCACGGTTCACAAGGTAAAGGTAACATAGGATTAGACATGATAGTGGTTAATTTGAACAAACATGTTAATAACACAAATTAAAACTGGTGATGGCAACACTTTATTTAATATTACCACACATTCTGCGTGCAATGCACAAGCTTATGAAACGGCGCTTCACTCAAGTAAGTTTTACGCGCAAATTAAACATCACGAAAGCATATGACACAACACGCTACGCATAGATCGACAGGTCAGCTCATTCCAAATACACGCGATGTAGAAGAACAGGAGCAAGCAACGCGTCTGATGAAACACTTCTGATGAAATCTTGTGCAACGCTCTTCCATTTTGAACCAGCTATTTTGAACCAGGAACTGTATTTGAACAGACGAAAATGATTTACTCGGATTTCCAAGACGACAAGGGAGGGGTCTCAGAGTCCTGCCAAGTAGTGTTAGCCATCATCAGAGGATACCGGTCGCCATGGACATTGCTAGCATAAGACTCGAGTTCAGCCATTTCTGCAGGGGTGAGTTTCACAGATAGTGCTGCAACATTTTGGTTGAAATTCTCGATTTTTGTTGTCCCGGGTATGGGGCACACATCACGCCCCTGATGATGGATCCAGGCCAATGCGAGTTGTGACGGTGTGCATCCTTTTCTGGCTGCCATTTCGTTAACACGCTCAAATATTTCAGCATTCTTCTCGATATTACCTGGTTGAAATCTAGGGATAAGCTGCAAAAGGCACCAATACAAGTTGTTAGTTAATTGAATGAGAATTCATTATAGTTCTACTTCATTTTTCAAAGACTAAATAGACGAGACGTGAATATGCAGCACAAAGATTAGCTTAATTGGAAAAGGCTTATGTCCGATCAATACAAAGTAAAAATTTCTAATGAACATAAATGTAATTTGCTCTACTGAACATATAAGTGTAATTTGTACTACCGAATATAAGTGTAATTTGTACTACCGATGCAGAAGTACAGAAAATGAGAATACAGAAGAAGGTACATATATAATAATTACTCCCATCATCCAAACAACAAGGCATATAATTATGTTACAAGGTTTCAAAATATAAGGTCTGAATGCCTATTTAATGATCTTTCTTCTCGTTTTTCCTACATTAATCATTCATTTCTACTCCATGTATGAGTAAACTCATAAACAAGATTTGTTTCAAGAAAGGAAACAAATTAATTTCTGTTCTTCTTATTCTAAAAGACATTAACACGACAGGTATCACAGCATTTTCCCTAACCCGTTCTGCTATTTTAATGACCTCCTTCAAAGCCATTCTTAGGGAAAACTGAGTGATTAGTAATCATGGAAATATACCTTGCGAAAATCATGGTCTGGTAGAGAATCCACTAGTTTAGCTCCACTAGAAAAAAACCCTTTACCAAGTGGACTGTAAGCTACTATTCCAATTCCAAGTTCTCTGAAATGAAAATTAGAAAAATAGTTAAAATGCAGCATGTGATTTTTTTTTCTCAACAGACAAACTAATTTGTTTTTTCAATGCCTGCAAGTTGGAACAATATCTTCTTCGACGTCTCTAGACCATAATGACCACTCAAGCTGAACTGCAGTGATAGGATGTACAGCATGAGCCCTTCTGATTGTTGATGCCGATGCTTCACATAAGCCAATATATCTTATCTTTCCTTCTTCAACTAGTTTCTTGAGTTCACCAATCTAACAATGTGAAAGGGAAATCAACTGGATAATCTTGAGAAGAAAGGTCATTACTTAAAAGGAGTGCATGGTTCTCAGGACAAAAATAAAAGATAGTTCAGTTTATAGACAATAATTACATGCAACGATTATATTTGTAAAGAAAGGCAAAACAACTAGATAATCTTGAGAAGAAAGATTATTACTTAAAAAAAGTGCATGGTTCTCAGGACAAAAATAAAAGATAGTTCAGTTTATACACAATAATTACATGCAACGATTCGAAAATATCAGGAGTAATAGCAGTTCAGGTGCTACCTCTTATGCGCTATCAAAAAGATATAGCACACCAAAATGATGAAAATGCATGTGTTGGTGGATATGTTCTAATAACTATTGCTAGTTTGTAGTTAAATATTCTGAAAGAAAAGAAGTCTTCTTCACTGAAGATATATTTTGGTTCATGTATTTCTTCATTGGTTTTTCGATTGTTAAACTTTGAAATGTTGGGTTGGTTGGTGGTGGTTAAGATCCCAGCTATTACAACAACCACAATGTGTGTTGTAACTTCCCAGTGATATGTCAGTGAATTTACTTTATGTTCTTTACCCTTCAAAATCCCACAGCTAATGTCTAAAAATTGAAACCCTGCCCTATATCTAAAAAAATGCAATACATAAAGGGAAAGAAAACATTGTTAAATTATAGAAACCATCTGTCACATAGGGAGTACTGTAACTGCCCAGTGACATGACAGTTACAATGGAAGATATTCATAAGATATTTTTCACGCATTTGTGCTAAACAGAGAGATCTTAAGGCAAATAATATTGTACTTCATACCTTTATAAATGTATGATTCAAACACTTGTTATGAAAAAACAAAAAGAAATATATGCTTCATTTTGTATTACAATGAAAAATAATAGCTTATTACAATGAAAATTTAATACATGAGGTTAAAAAAATAACGACAAAAGGACAGGTGCCAGAAAATGGAGCTTGATTTGGCCTTCCAGAATTCAGGCCAAGTTGCTGCCGGAACAAAAAGTCATTGTACAATTAACCAAACAGACGTAGGATTTTAAGGGTGCATCGAGCCGGGTTAAATTTTCCTCCCTTCAAAATTGACGTCTCCTACATTTTGTTTTATTTTAACGACCAATACCACAAAGTGCGATGATTCATTAAATAGAATAGGAAAAAAAAAGGCTAGCACCCTGGAAAGCAGTAGCTAGGAAAAAAAACAACACCACCACGCACCGATGATGCCTATATAGGATCCAAGAAAAGGCTAGCGTCGTCGGACTGGCCGCCGCTAGACTAATAAAGAAGCTACCACCAAACCGCCCAAAACCAAAACCTAAAAAGTGAACAACACACTCAACTCTATACGTATCAAAAGGATTGGAGGGGAGAGGGAACCACTCTCCCCCTCAAGGCCCACCAACATGGTCAGCTTGCATTGGCTAGGTGCTGCCGCAAGCCCGCAAGAGGATAAACATCTAGAGAGAGCACGCGCAAGCTATCAGAGAGAGGTTTCAGCAGGGGGGCCTCCTAGACGACGTCTCCAAGGAGAAAAGCGACAGAACCCAAGAGGGAAAACGATGTCCGAAACGCCATCACAGCCGGCTGGCAAGACCAGGCTAGGTTTTACACCTGCCACGCACTCCCTATCGATCCGCGGATATCACTCCATTGCTCCACCACCAGCCATCCTCCATCGGCATGTGGCCAATACTACACCGACCCCCCTTCCACCCCTGGTCAGTCAGCCTCGGCATGCCTTGTGGCACACACCACCATCACCGGCCTCATTGTTGTCACCGTGTAGACCTCCCGTGCCGTCGGCTGGGCTAGCCTCCCTGCAGTTGCGCACGCCAACCTCCTAACGCCTTTTGCGCCGACCCGCCCACATTGACCTCTCCCACCATTGCCCCGTCACCGCCAGGCGTGCCTCCTAGCGCCGCTGCGTCGGCCTACCACCGCCACCAGCTGCTCCCAACCAGCACCACGCTTCCTCCTATCCCTACCATTGTTTCCAGTACCTTTCTCCCGCCGACGGCACTTCACGAGCGTGCCCTCTGTCGACGGCACGTCGTCGTGCCCTTACTGCCTCGCCCCGCCACCTCCACGCAGCCGTACCCCTTCGCCTTGTCATCGTTGCTGGCTCAGGAGTTAGCTTCCCAAGGCGAGGAGGCAAAATCCGGATGGGATGGGACCAGATTTGGCAGCTGCACCCCTGCGGCCTCCACGTTCACGCCTCCGCATCCACGTAGCCGTGCCCCGCTGTCTTGCTACCGCATCCGGCTTGGGGACCGACCTACTGCACCGGGGAGCCCGGATCCATCCAGGACGGGGCTGGATATAGGAGTCGATGCCAGATCCAGTGGCGCCGCCTTGCCGTCGTCACCCCGGTCCACCTAGGCATCGACGCTACCACTCTCCTCTTTAACGCCGGCAGCTCCATCCTAGCACCATTATGGCTGTCGTCACCCGGAGCTAGTCGGGGTCGTGGGCTCCGACCCCGCTACCACGGAAAAGGAAGGCCTCGCTGCTGCCGTTCTTGTGGCCGCACGGTTTATGGCAGCCCGCTCGACCCTGCCCTAGAGAGCGACACGGAGCCGTTACTAATAATGAGTCTTATAGTTTGTTTTCAGCAACATCATAATCCTCCCTCCAATTAGTTTTTCCAATGATTTTTTTGTGTGTTTGGCGGGTGTTGAGGGTGGGGGCAGGGGGCATCAATAAAAGATGTCTCTTGACAACAACCTACCACCACCTACATTCCCTTTCAGATACAGATGGATGTTTCACTTACATATAACAAAATAAAAGAAAGGGAACACAAACATAGAGGGGAAGGGGCACCGACCGTGACCTCGATGGGCACCTTCTTGTCGACGCGGTGCTGGTAGTAAAGGTCGATGCAATCGACGCCGAGCCGCCGGAGGCTGCCCTCGCACGCCGCGCGCACGTACGCCGGGTCGCCGCGGATCCCCGGCTTGCCGCCGGCGAAGAACTTGCCGAACTTGGTGGCCAGCTCAACCCTGTCGCGCACGCCGCCGCCCTGCAGCGCCTGACATTTCGTCGAGCACCTTCAGCGCGCGCTCGCGCATGCACAAATTAAGCCCAACCCCTACCCGAGCAATGGCGGGGACACAGTGGAGAGGTAGGTACGTACCTTGCCGAGGAGGACCTCGTTGGTGTGGGGGCCGTAGAGGTCGGAGGTGTCGAAGAACGTGACGCCGGCGGCGATGGCGTGGCGGATGAGCGCCACCATGTCGGCCTCCGGCTTGGGCGGCTCGAAGGCCGGGCACATGCCCATGCAGCCGAGCCCCTGCGCCGAGACCTCCATCCCCTGAGAGCCCAGCTTCACCCGCGGCACCGCCACCGTCGCCATTGCAGCAGCTGCCATTGCCACGGCCGCTGTACTTCTTGGCTGATGCCTATATATATATTTTTCTGCTGTGTGTCACTCACTTATATAATGCTGCACACTGGGAGATGGAAAAATGGCTATATTCAAGATGATTGAACATTTCAATTGCTGCTGCTGCAGGCAGGACCAAACATGTCAGCATCGACCAACAACTGGCTCACTCTGGCCTGCTTCTGAATTTTTTGTTGACGAATACCACCCTCTCTGACAGTCTGACTGACTACCTGAAGAAGATAAGCTGATATCCTGTGAAGCAGATAGATCTTTAAATTTGCTTGTGAATTTTTGTTCACTGTAGGTTCTTATTTTGATGGAGTGCACATATAGTTTTGACAGTGGTGCAGTAGCTCATAGCTTACACATAGCTGAAGCTGAGTACACTTTTCTTTGGTTTGAATCATATATATATACTGCAAGATGTGGATTTTAATGCTTCGGTTTCAGGGGAAAGTGAAATCATCCCGATATCCTCTCGTTTCGTGCATATCACCTAAATAGTCATCAAAAAATATGAAAAAAAAATTGGCAACATAGACTAATATGAAATATATCAAAGTTTAAATTCAACTTCTACAAGTTGTAAAAAAAATAATAAATATAGTTGCGAATGTGAGATAACTATTTTCAGTTTAATTTATTATTTTTGTTGCAACTTATAGAAGTTGAATTTGGTCTTGTATGTTTGTGGAGTGATATATTTCGTATTAATCTATGTTGTCAATTTTTTTCAAATTTTTTAACAACTATTTAGATGACATGCAAACAACGAGGGGATGTCCCCTAGGGATAAAAATCCACATCCCGGTTTCAGATATGTTTCAGAGATATGCAACTTTCTTAATTAGCTGGTTCTTGTTTGTAGAGATTAAGAAATATAGAAATTCAGACATGTTTCATGCCAAATGCAGGTACTCCATGTCCGAGCCAGCTTCCTGATATAACCACACTGGATTCTGATGCTACATCCGAGGCGGCAACTTCTAGTCGATGGGGCTCCGGCACTTTAAAGTTACAAATAGTTTCCATTTTTTTGGCAGAAATTTGCCATGTGAGTATGACGAATTTGAATTCCATCAGTATTATGGAATAGTGCCAGTAGAGTGATCTGAGCATGACAAATTTGTACTTTGTCAGTATGATATATAGTAATTGTTTCCGTGATGCCGATTGGAATAATGGTGGCTGCTCGCGGATGGAATCTAAATGTCAGTTTGTTTAATTGCATGTTTCTTCGTTCTGAATGACAATCTGAATGTCTGAACAAGTGCCAACTGCCATTGCATTAGTCTGAAGCTACTCACAACCTAGAACTACATGAGTGAAATTGAAGCTACTGATTGCATGAGCAATCTGAATATACTGAAGCTATATTCAGATATCTGATGCTTCATGAGCATCATGTGATTTTTTTTAATATACTGAAGCTAAACTGAAAATGTTCTGTCTTTTGGACTCCTTTCACACATCAATCAAGGTTTCACAATAATTAGTACTCCAACTAAATCTAATTACTCAATACTTCAATTCAGAAAAAGTACATTCAGAGAGAATATAATACTAGTACTTCAGTTTTGAAAAAAAAAATATTTCTTGTGTCAGTTATTTCATTGTGTATGTAAAACTGATTCTAATCAAAACACTGCTGTTCAATCCAATTCAATTACTCCAATTCAACAAAATCTACAAACTTCGCTGCTCGTATTTGAAACGAGCAATCCAGATCATCTGGCACATATCATGTGGGACTGGTACATGTCAGTGAGCAGTACTGCGGAGTACCCTCACTCTTGAAACGAGTGATAGAGACGGTCGAGAAGAGGGAGGAAGAGGCAGCAGCTAGTGGAAGTGGTTGGCGAGCCCTTGAGGTGTTCATTCTCAACGCAAAACTTTCCGGATTCCCAATTAAGCTTCTTGGGCCGTCGTCGTTGGAGATCATCACGCCATCCTGCAGCGACAACTGTTTGCTGTTGGGTTTCCCGGCCATCACCGGCGATCTGCGGCGGCGGCCACCGCGGCATCGACGGAAACTCTGCCACTGATTGCAAAAACATCAACACACCAACAAACCTCGATGTTAGTTAAAACATCACTAGCTCTCCCATATCTATGCTCCCGCCTTTGTTGGAGTGGCGAAAAAGTTTGTTTTTTTTTTAATCAAGATGACATACGCCCATGCATTAAGATTTTAGAACGTGTCTATCTACTTCCAACGAATATTTGGAACAGAGAATTACTCAGAAAAAGAGAATTATTTTTTTTCTAATCCACCATGTCGGCCTCCGGCATTGGACGGGCCGTAGAAAGCGGACATGCCCATGCAGCCCAGGCCCACTGCGTTGAGATATCCGGCCCCTGCGAGCCCAGCTTCACGTGACGTGAGGCACCGCCACTGCCGCCGTCCCCGAGAAGCCGGCTGCCGCTGCCATGCATGGCTGGCCGGATCAGTCGATTTCTTACTTTGTAGTGATGCTACCTGGGCTCTGCATGGCCACTCACATATATAAGGTTAATGCTATAACAATGTAACTGTAGTATGTAAGGGTATTGTTTAGAAGAGATTAAGATTCTAAAAAGCTGCTGGTTGGTAATCAGTTTTTAGAATATAGAAAAGTCGGGGTTCCCAGCTTCCGACTTTATTCTTTTTTGGATTCAACAGCTATAGCTTTTTAGGATCTAAACGAAAATGTCAACTGTTTAGAGAGCTTATGATTATAAGAGAAGTTGCACCTGCCAAAAACTTTCTCAAACAGATCCTAAGCGTCACTGCATGGGTGGGAGCAGGAGCATGTGTAAGAGCTTATGCGTGCGACGTGACTCGTTTTGAATTGCTAACTATCACCCGTAGGGCTATCAAAAAAAGCTCGAGGCTCGTGAGTCACCTCAGACTCGATTCGAGCTCGGCTCGAACTCTTAACAAGCCGAACCAAAGCCTAGCTGCAAGCTCACGAGTTTTGTCAAGCCAAGCTCGAGATTCTTATGAGTCTAACTATGTGTGTAAATTTTTTATCTTTTATATGATAAGTTAGTAGCTCAAGGACAAATTAGTATATATTCATGTGAAAAATTAGTGTATTTTGGCATCATATATAACTTTATCTTCAATATTATTGATTAAATTTTTTTTACTAAATCTTATCAACAAAATATACATTATCCTATAATCGATCGAGCTCGCGAGCCTAAACGAGCTCGAGCCGAGCCTGCTTAAAAGCTCAAAAGAGAATTAAGCTCGGCTCGAGCTTTGTCGAGCTTGAGCCCAGACGAGCAAGCTCGGCTCGCTGATAGCCCTAACCATTGACTTAGCATATTAATTGCTCCTATAGTTTTGGGTTATACGACAAAAAGTAGGTAAACCTCTCTTTCTTACTGTCAACGTAAACCAGAGGCGGATCTAGGAACAAAAAATTAAGGGACTCAATTATACAGTTTCTTCAACCTCCAGCCATTTAGGAAGCTTTAGTTTATCATTCATGGTGAAAAAATTAGAGGGGGCGCTCTGCGGGTATATATCCATGGGTCTTGTGGGTGTAGGGGAACCTAAGTCCCCCTGCACCACGTTGGATCCACCCCTGAACATAACAGCTGGAAGGAACATTTCAATTTGCAAAGTGGCCATCCTGCCTTGAATTTTCCATCTTAGACACTTCCCTTTCTAAACGATATTGCATATAATCAGTTAACTAGTTACTCCGTGTGTCCTGTGTAGTCTTTGGACTAAAGATTTGTCCCTAGAGTTTAGTTTTATAGACCTCTTCAATAGTAATTTTATCGTTTTCTTCTCGTTATCAACCATTGAGACACTTTAAACTCTGTAAAGAGACTTCTTAGAATAAAAATATATACTAAATGACTAAATATAAGTAACTGAAGACAAATACATATAAGTGATGACTTGGGATTGAGTTGGTTAGTGCCTTGAAGATAAGTATGATTTGTGCAATTGATCATGAGTTCAAGGATTGCAAAAACAAGAGAAAATATTTTATTTTATTTTATTTTTTCATTAATTTCATATTATTGTGGTACAATTTAATGTATCTAGAAAATGCCTCTACCATCTTATAGACATTTTATAAAATGCCTCTTCGTTTGTACAGATAATTCACCGTAAGGCAATTATTAGATATTTTTTTAATATATCTCTATAGTATTGTAAAGGCATTTTAAAAGTGTCTCTATAGTATTAGAAAAATGTCTCTACAAAGCGTTTTTCCTGTAATAATGTTCGGCTGGAAATTCCACACCCATTTCCTAATTAAAAAGCAACGGATTCAATATACCTATGTTGCAGCTTCATTTGTACTATTAAAAATTTATCCCACAAAGACTATTTATAGCGTTATAGCCTATCAAGTTAGAGCAGGTACAATAGGGTTCAGATAGCTGGAAGAAAAAACTCCACGTAAGCATGAACGCTGAGTTGGCGAAAAAAGAGAGGAGAGAGACCATCAGTTGCTGACTAATTTGCCACTAGTGCCACACGCACTCTAAGAAAAAATAGTCTCACCATTTGATCTCTGCACCATCCAAAAGTGAGATAGAAATGAAAGGAAAGAGAAGATAAAGTAAATAAAGAATAAAACATTATTTATATGGAGAGATGGGTAAATGTATTAGAGCCTACCTACTGTATGTACTTGCTTTTATATTATATTTACCTGACGTGAGAAGGATTGGAGCCAGCAGCGAGCGCTTTTATTAGACTTGCTCTTAACACATACACATTTAGTTGAAGCCTAGAAAATGGTACCAAGAGTACTAAAAGCAAGGTAATAGTAAGTAAGTCAACTATATGCATATGTGAAAAACAGAGATTTATTACTCAAATTAACAGACTCATAATCGGTACAATGAGCAAATAATTATTGCAAGCTCTCGATAAAGAACAATCTATTGTTCAACATGGTTTGGGTGTTGCCAGAACTGTCATTAGTTAAAACTAGAACATGCTAATTTGATTCATGTATGAAGATCGCATGAGTTTAGGGTTTATTTATGGACTGCTCTATGTGGTGTTCTAACTAGTTTTAACACAGTTGAGATGAACATATACATGCTCGGTTTTCAAATAACTGAACAATTTAACTTTACTATTATAAACTTTAACCAATAATTACTTGGACATAATACACACTTAATTATCAGTGTATTTTATTAGTGTCTGTAAATATTTTGCTAAAAAAGACCGATGGTGTCAAAGCTCGAAAGCAGTATATATTCGCTGACTAAGCAGTATATATTGAGTAATATCTTTTTTTTTTTGGCTAGGAGTATTGAGTAAGAATAACTCCTGTCAATCGGCAAAACAAAAGCATTTTCGTGTGTATGCATGGATAAATAGATAGTTTATTTTAAACATTGAGATGATCCTTCGCCCTTTGCTTTAATTAAAAGGCTATAACCAATTATTGCATAGGCTATAGGACGAATGACTGCGACTTACAAATTCACCATTTGATTAAAAACAAGAAAGCTATTTAAACTATTTAGAATACCACCTTAAAAATTAGATAGCAAAATAATACTCAGTTGCTGCATCTATCCTACGAAGCCGGCCGGCTGCATGGACAGATAAGATACTAATATAAGAGTACAGAGAGTACAAATGCTTACAAATAAATTATCAGCTGAGCCGGCTGAGAGAGAGTTCATGTATATATGTGTGTGGATCATAAAAAGCTAAGAGAAGAAGAGGGAGCGTACAGCCTTGGTGAAAAGGGTAGTAGGCGTCGCAAGTACTTCCACCATCTAACAACTAAACCGCCCAAAGCTGTACTCTCTCTCTTCTCCATTTAGCCTTCACGATATGATCGTCTATCGATCTCCTTCTCTTAGTTGCTCTAGAAGTTGGATCCCTCTGGGTTTATATAGCACACTAGCATCGGCAAAATGACACTATTGTGACGAATCCATTTATTGTAATGCAACAGGAAATTAATAATTGCACCCTCCATCCCAAAATATAGAATCGGATGGAACTCAACTTAGTACTAGATTCATCGTAATATGTTGAGTTACATCCAATCCTATGTTGTTACTACCTCCGTCCCATAATAAATGTCGCTTTGACTTTTTGCTTACAACGTTTGACCATTCGTTTTATTTGAAAAATTGGTGCAAATATAAAAAAGTATAAGTCATACTTACGGTACTTTTGATAATAAAGCAAGTCACAAACAAAATAAACAATAGTTCCAAAAAAATTTTTGAATAAGACGAATGATCAAACATTACAAACTCAAATTTAAAGCACCAAGTAATATGGGACGAAGGTAGTATATTTTATGAGGGAGGTAGTAATTAGTTAGTCAACATCATCTTTTTTTTCTCGTTCCCGCCAGCACATATATACATACATACGGAGAAAAAGGGTTGGTAGAGAGAGCATCATTAATGTGTGTAATGTGTGGTGATGTGGTAACTTCTAACTAGTATTTAAATATTAATATAATTCATCTGTTTTCAAATACAGCTAGATATAAACTAGGACTAGATAGGGGTTTATACTAGATTGTATTTAATCTAATAGTGTTAGGTTTCTATATTTATATTTTAGGATGGAAATGTTATATAATATAGTTACATTCACTTGTTCATGCATACGGGTGATACAAGTTATACTTCATTAAAAAAAAATAAAGAATTACTACGAAGTGAGCGTAACTCAATTGGTTAAGTTTCTTGTGGTAAACTAGCCCACCCAATTTAAGTACTAGACTTAATATAAATGCTCGTATTTACGGTTAATTATTCTTTCAGTGCTAGACGACATACCCGTTGTACCTTTATAGGGGTAAGCGTACGCGCGTTGTGAGGATATGTATTTATATTGTGCTTTAAAAAAATAAAAAAATATTGTTTAAAACATTATAAAGGAGAAATAATATTGTTATAGCGGTAAAGTCGTCAGCGTGTGATTCCAACCGTAAACATTTCTAATCGCTTGGGCTAAAAAACCAAAATTTAAATTTTTGAAGTTGATTTTAAAATTGGTTTTAAGATATTTTTAATGTAAATTTTTTTAACATTATATAAAAAATTTACGTATAAATTAATTTTTATTTTCTAATAAACCTTTTGAATTTATTAGGGAATACGAGCTGCCACGAGGCTCTGTGTGTGCATGACCAGTTTCATTGTCCTTGGAAAATATAACAATGGCTAGTAGTGTCACGTACGCGTGTGATGGATCCAAGTTGGGCATGTGGCATGCAGTGCAGGCTGTAGCTAAGGCCATTCCGTCGTTTTTCGCGAGCCTCCGGGCTAACAGCAGCCGTCCAAAATGGCCGGCCGGCTTTGGAATTGGTCCATCAACTAGCTAGCTCAACACTGTACAAGCCGTAAATTTTTTACCAACCTGCACTACACCGATCCTCTGCACTCCACCGATCCTCTCCTGGAGTTTGCATTACTCCCTCTGTCCCATTATAAGTGACACCGTAAGTTTTCGTGCCTAACTTTAATCGTCTATCTTATTTAAATTTTTTTATAATTAGTATTTTTATTGTTATGAGATGATAAAATACTTTACTCATGACTTATGTTTTTAAATTTTTTTAAAAAAATCTTCAAATAAGATGGACGGTTAAAATTGGACACGGAAAATCATAGCTACATTTAAAATGGGATGGGATGGAGTACCTAATTTCGCATTACCCAAAAGGGCATATCCAACAACCTTTGTAATGGAGATAACGATGAGAATCTTTAAAAGCACTTGAGAATCTAAACGTGTGTTTGGTTCGGAATGAGTTGAGATGGGTCACACCAATTTATGCTTTTTATGGAATGGTTCTATTATCTTTTGGCATGAGATTTTTTTTAGAGATGGGAGGGTATAGCCAGCATGTTATTGAAAAAGAAGTGACTTAGATTAGTAAGCTACTTAAGCTTAGTTAGATAAGGAAACATTCCCATTCAGAAATCAACCCATCCTACCTATTCTCAAACTGAACACCCCGAAAAATAAAAATGAATTCCCGTCCTATCCCATCCCAATGTTCACATGCTAAACTGTTGGCAACAGCTTTTTCACAAACTACCTATTCTCAAACTAAACATCCTTAAAAATAAAAATAAATTCCCGACCTATCAAACCAAACACCCTTAAAAATAAAAATAAATTCCTGACCTATCACATCCACTGTCCGCATGCTAAACTGTTGGGAACAGCTTTTTCACCAATAGAGCAAATAGATTGAGGCATGGAGTTCATAGAAGCTTGTAGAGATCTATTTAGCACGGACTCCAGCTCTTCTGGAACTAGAGCCCAACCAAACAGTTTTACCTCTACAAAATAAAATTGGAACTGGATGAAACACTCTCACAAAACAAACTAGAAGGGTGGAGTTAGGTTTATACTACTCCACAACTCCACGACTGAAGCTAAATTTAGGAGTTGAAGCATTCTATCTTTAACAAAAAGAGAATAAAAAAGGCATATAAGCTTTTATTGCCGGAATGCCTATCTGTATATAAAAAGAGAGCTTTTGCTCAAGATTACTATTTGTGGATTCCAGCCGTTCAGTATGCAGTGATCTGTTCACAGCAGCTATTCGCCACCACCAGATCTGCACCCACGTTTCTGATCTCGCACAGAAGAATTTGCAACCAAGTTGTGTGTATAGCATAGTAATGTTTACCAGATCCAACATACAAGCTCACTGGACCGTAAGAATGCCAAGGCTTATTCCACCAGCCGCAGTCCCAGGATACAGAGACATGCTTAAGCAATGTTAACAAATGGAGGACCAAAATTCGACCGAAAAAAAAGAAGAGAAGGAACACATATCTCGACTGTCGTATTGATAATCCACCAACAATTGCCCAATCATATACACTCTACATTTGGAGACCTTCCTAAAAGATGTAGCTGTCACCTTGGGGCTTGGGGAGGTTCGACAACAAGCATCCATCAACCAAAAAGGAGATGAGACTTTGGATCAAAACAGTATGACAAGTATCAATATAGCTCCCACCATGACCCACTGGAGAAATGAACTGAGTCTGCTTCTCTCCCAAGAACATCTGTGCCTCAAAATTGGCCGCCAAAAACAACTAGGCCAAGCCTGCAAAAGAATAACTCACCGCCTGCGATCACCGAATCACAGGATACTGACCAGTGCCAGTGTCACGGATTGGCAAAACTGGAGAAACAACCAAGTAATGACTCTCTTCACTGCGCATTCGCCTTTTCCAACTTCTCTTTCTCAATTTCAACTTTTCTTTCCTCGGCATGTTGAGCTAAGCCATTCGCGAGTGCCTGGTAGCGGAAATCTAGAGTCTGCATCAGGCTCTGGAACCTGGCTGGATCAGATGCTTGCATACCTGTAACAGATGGTCACTAACTTGTCAGGTAACTTCAGCCATAGTAGCATAGAGTAAGCACAAACTTGTACAAGAATGCTGTTTTACCTTGGATGGTATCAACAAAGAAGATGAATGGGTCCACCTCATCAATTGGCGATTGCAACTCCTCATCATCGCTAAAGTCATCATCAGAATCATCATCGTCGTCATCATAGTGCGGCTGGAAACCTCTTGCCTAAATCACAGGAAGCATACAAAAACATGAGTACAGGGTACAGCATAAACATGAAACATTTACATGAAATAAAGATTTGAATTTCACAAGACACTATGGTAAAAAATTAGTCTAGGGAAGAGAAGGTGACACTTTCTGTGGCGTGCTAAAAGAAGACAGCAGCAAGCTCAAAGGCCAGCAGAGAACAAAGGTGATTCACGAGAAATGTGAGGCGCTCTAATGTAGTTTTTTAATATACATATATTATGGACCACTTCACCCACCATGCATGGTGGCAAACACCTCCAGAACTGATTCAGGGGTTTGCTTAGACCGTTTAGCATACTTCATGGATAGATTTACACAATTTTATAGTTTAGGGGACAATAGTTTACAGGTTTAAATAGAGCTTCTCCTTTTTGTTTAACTAGCTTTTGTGTGTGTTATATATGTTACAGCTACTGCAGTTTAGGATATAAATGGCCAGCAAAACAAACTCAAATACACTTTGTTATATATGCAACAACTATGCAATTTGGGATTAAACATTGCTAGCAACTCAAGCCGTATATATATAGTAATTTAGTTTGTCAGCTGTAATTGTCATTATTCAGAATTCAGTGATACAACATCCTTCATAGTCAATAAAACATAAGTTAATATTTATTTAAAGGGAAGTATTTGTGTTACTAACTTTACTAGTCCTTTTGTTGAGGGGAAACCAGACTGAAAACACTTGTTACCAGAGACCGTGTTAGTTCTATTAAATAATACCCCATGAAAAACACTTGTAGAAAAATTTAACTATTTTGAGCATCTAAATAAAAAGGAACACATTTTTACATGCTAATTCTACTTAAGTCCATATCACAATACAAACCTCTCTTAGTTTCTGAAGATTGACACTAGATACTTCATCCCCATCCTCATCATCATATCCCATCTCCTTATCAGACTCAATATCCTCATCTTCTTCATCACCATCAAATCCATCCAAATCTTCAGCTGCAGCCTCATTTTCCCATTTAGATTCTGCTTATGAACAGGAATGATTAAGATCAGGCAAAAGGAATTTTAAAGACCTCTCCTCTACATCGTAATTGCAAAAAGGAGACATAAGATTAGAAAATTTTCTCAGGTCAACATGTTAACAGAATGGTATCACAGAGTTTTTGTTCGAAGTATTTGAATTGTCATATGTTCATCAGAAAATAAACAAAAGATAAAATTGAACCTGCAACTTGATCCTTGTAAGAAACAAGAAGCTCTAGTGTTGCTTTGAAAATGCGCTCAAGAGCTTCTGGTGGAATGTGATTAGCTGG